TTTTTAACCATTTCCCTCATTTCTGATCAATGCAAATGAAGCGTATGTTCAAATGCAGGTATGTTTTAGAGGATAAAAGTACATAATTTGACTAACACATGCTGAAATCCTAGAACAGAGCAGCTCATAAATTTCCTTCATTGTAGAATTTAAAATAAAGATCATTAAGCAGGGGGAGAGAATATTACGGGAAGGGACCAAAATAGTCACTTTGGGCAATGCAGAGGTGGCTACAGCCCTGGTCTATTTGTAGTGACGGGGAGGTTGCAGCTGAATCATGTTATGCGAGACGCGCGCTGCACTGGTTGGAGCTCAGAGCGAAGCCCTTGTGCCTCTCCCTGCACTGGCAGCGAGCACAAGCACTTGCAAAATTGGCAAAAAGAGTGTGGGAGCTGGAGATTTTCGGGAAACTCGCAGAGCTGGGGAGCAGGAAGGAGTGGGTGAGTGAAGGGGCCACAGCAGCGATTGGTAGGAGAGGCTGAACAGAGAGAGGCTGGTGAGAGCTGAGTGGGCAGAGATGCATGAGTTAGCCAGGCAGAAGAGTACCAGTGGAAAGGGAGGGAATGGCGTTAGCAGAAAGCATTTGTAAGCTTTCAGCAAGTCTCTCAACACTTTTCCACTCTACTGTAATTAATTTTGCTGCTAGTCTGGCCTGGTTTGTGTGTGGTGAATGTAAATGAGACCAGCGGGTTGCTAGGGTCTGTATGAAATGCAAAAATGAATGTGTGGCTTATGAGAAATAACTGCGCTGGCTTGTGTCTGTGGAACCGACACTGTTGTACACAGTCAGACATGAGGATCTTCATCCTGCCAACGCTTAGAACCATAAGCATCTTCATGTATGCTCCTAACTTCCTTTGAGCATATATACCTATGTGTTTGAGTTGTCAGGGCTTACACCTGGCTATGAATTCTACGAAGAACTCATTGAAAGATGAAAAAATAAAACCGAACAACATTAATTTGCTAAGGACACTCCAAAATAGAGCAGGGTCTTGAGAAAAAATGCCATACGAGACCCTAACATTAGTTCTTGTTTGTTCAAAAGAGCCTTGTGTTTCACAGGTAGCTTTTTGTTTGTTTTTCTGTATCTAATTTAGTTTAACTCACCATTTGAGGACTGAAAGGCAGAAAGCCCCCACCCAGCAGAGAAAGTCTTACACGACTGAAAAGAGGAAGACCTATTTTGCAGCCAGGGTGGTTTCCCCCTGGGACATACGTGATGGTGAACAGGCAGAGTAGCATTTTTATTGTAGGTTAAAACTTAGGAAAACTTGGATTTCATTTGGCCGTGTGCGCACTTTGCAAGTGTGTCCCAGGGAAGGAAGGCGGACTAGATGAGACCCAGTACATATCAAGGTCTTACTTGAATATATTATCTGGATATGACCAGGTGCCATGCCCCCTCCAGAGCCCCCTTCCAGTTTCCAAAATCAAGATGAGGCCAATGGAAACCAGAGCTGCCCAGCACCCCGGAGGATCAGGGTCCTTAGCTGTAAGACTAACTACAGTGGACTGGAAATCAAGGCTATTGATGAATTAATTAACTGCTTAATTCCGATGACTACATATGGGAAGACAGAGAAAATATTATATAAGAAGGGAAGGAAAACATGCTGAGCTGAGGCCGTAAGTGAGACCAACTTTTCTCTTTAGTCACTTTGAATTGAACTCTTAATTTCTTCCATTAGTTGAAGCAGTTATTTCAGTAAGCCAAGAACAACTGTCTTTTCTTGCCATCAGTAGAGCATTTTTCATTTGAATAGGGAATTTGTGGAACTGTATGGAAGGACAGATAAGATGTCAGTCCACTTTGTAAACTCAGGTACGGCATGAGTTCAGTAGTGCGTGTCACACAGACTGCGCTCCTGTCTCTGCTGGTGGTGTCAGGAGTGCTAAGAGGTTCTTACCTCTTTTAGCGTCATCTCTGCAGATGAGGCAGAGCTAGGGCCAAAGGTTACTGTTAAAGGACAGCCTTAATGGGAGAGCTGCTTGCAGTGTTCAGATCCCACTGGAAGTGGGGACAATTCTGGAGGTTGCCCGGAGACCCTGGTGAGCACGAGCAGTGGCAGAGCTCTGCCAGAGTAAGCACAATAGCTCATTTGCTTTGGCACCCAGCAAATCAGGAGCTTAGTAAGGATGGGAGGAAGAGTTTTGTGGTGGCAATTGACCCTCATCCATGAAACATGGAACGCACTCAAGTCCTGCCTTTAACCATTTGCTGCCACCCACCTCATGCTGCTTCTCCCCGCTGCCTGCAGAAGCAACCTTGAGACATCCCTGCCTTTCAGAAAACCTTGCTGGTGCTACTGCAGCAGGGTCACGGTGCCAGATACCGTTGCCTAAACTGCTGAGTACCATGTGCGGTTTCTCAAACAAAGGTGAGAAGCCACCCTTTGTTTCCAGGGCACGTGCTTTGGAGCCAGCAATTTGACAGCAAAAGAAATGGTTTATTGTGAAAGTGACCCCTTCCCCCTCCCCCAAGAGAGAAAATCCCCAAACACAGGGAAGGAGGAGATTTTCAGCAAGAGGTCCAGCTGATAGCAATGGTCAGATTGCAAGCAGTGGCATTTGGCCGCAAAACAGGACTGTCCTTTAAGCTCACCTGTAGCCTGCCACCCTCACCTTTTCCCCCAGGTGAATAAGCGCTCTATGTCCTCCCTGGGAAGCTGTGGTGGTGTTGCAGCCACAGTTGTCTACGAATTTAATATAGGCATGGGCTTGATATCTAATGTAGGTGTTGTAAAAGATGTTTTATTAAGAAAAGGTCTGTGTCTAAGGTGGCTCACCAGTTAAACAACTGATTTGAGGAACTTCTATAGACCAGGCAAGCATTTGGAGGAAGGGCTTTACTCCTTTACTACCCAAGAAGACAGCAGCATTGACTTAAAACAGTACCACTGACATCCCTCTGTGCTTTGCTGAGAGTAGGGAGGACTCAAGCTAGTTTGTTTCTTATCTTTGTATTTCAGTGCTATCCGTTTCACTCCTGTATCCTAGATTTTTTTAAAAAGTTCATATTCAGACCATGACTGATAATGCGTGGCTTGCTATTTTTAGCCAGATTTAATACAACAAACCTTTGAAAGAAACTGAGAAGTTCTCACCTGCTTATTCTTTTATATATTTTAGGAAGACAGTGGTTCAGTAATAAGCACAGAATTCCTTTTTCTGAGTTTGAGGTGACGAACAACCCCTGGTACAAGTGTGCAGCAGGTCAGGGAGTGTCATTACATCTGGCTGAGTAAGGAAAGATCCCTGGAGTTTTAAGAACAAACATGGCAATGTTCAGAAAATTAATGGGTGACTTAAAATACACACCCTCCAAAACTCTTCACATGATAAATATGCTGTCTCCATTAGACCACTTGCAATTCTTCTTTGCCCACTTTCTAACAGTGTAGAAATCTGATCATATTTCCATTAAAATCAAAGCCAAATACTTCAGTGCTCTCTGCACAGGATGAGAGCCTTATTATATTTCAGTAGCATTTTTTTATTCCACAGAAAAAGTTTCTTTAATTCTGCTTAAGCTCTATTCTGATTTAATAGATGTGTTTCAAACAGAATTATGTGGATTTAAATATGGCCCTTCTGAAAAATTCCCCACCAAGAGTTGATCTTTGCTAGCATTTGCCAACTGTGGCTTCCTCTCCTTCAGAAGTTGACATAATTCATTGTGTCACTAACAGTTCACAGAAACTGATATTAATAAATACAAACTGGTAAGCTGTCCTTCTGAGGTAGCATGGAGTGCTTGGATAACATTTAAAAATCATGTAAAGGGAGAACACATCCTGTCTGGCAAGTTGAGGTGTAAAATATGCTACATGCAACCAGATGGCTACACAAACTTGTCTGAAATTGCAGGAGGAGGGCACCACTTTCTCTGTGACTATAAGAACCTGTCAGCAAGGTCTTGTGCTGTGGAGGAGCCCTCGCAGGGCTTGGCTGCAGAGTTTAAAAGGCAGTAAGCAGGTGACTGGGCTGAACAGGAGACCCATGGTATACTAAACCGTGGCTTTTTCAAGGCTTTTTGGACTTGTTTGTTCATTTTTTTCTATGCTGCTGGTTTTAATGCTTTTTTTTTTTCTCTGCTGCTGGTATTAGAAGTTTTGGTTCCTTTTTTTTTTTTTTTTAAGACCCTGTTACCTGTAATGTACACACAGAAGTACTGTGCTGTGTATGGGTGTCTTGTACACATCAGAAATTTTATTTATAGCTATTCCAGATACTGCCCACGTGATCTTTGCTTTCTCAAACCTGTTTCACCATCAAAGAGGAACAGCTGAACAATAGGGCTGAAAGCACTGTGTGCATTTAAGAATGCTTCAGAAAATACCCATTAAATCATTTAGCAACAAGTTTTTTCAGCCTTGAAAATCAGAAATGGCAGTCTTGAGAACACAAAACCTCTTCTTGTTTGGATCCCTGCACTGTGAATTTGAAGATGTGAAACTGAGAGTGTTTGAAGCAGCTGAGCGATGGCTCACATGCCAGGTGCGGGACTTGGTTTGACTCCGTCCTCCTCATCCCCCCGCAGCTGGGGTGGGGATGATGCTCAGAAATCCAGGTGCTTCCTTTCCAGTTCCTTGCTTTCCTAAAGAGGAATGGCTGCTTTTCAGCTGCCTGCACTATCTCTTGGACAAGACGTTTACACTTGTATTCAGAAGCCCGAAAGATGCTGGTGCGCAAAGGAGATTTCCTCTTGTAAGGAACAATCTTTCCAGTCACCCTTCCCTGACCCCCTCTCGTTTCAGACACTGGCTGTAGCCAGGATAAGCTGACTCATAATAGCAAGCATTATGCTAGAATGCTTTATTGTTTAATAGCATTAAGCTTTATCAGTGTGAATTGGCTCCCAAATGCATATGGCTGCCTAGACCCTTCAGCAGTCATTATGAATAACAGTAGGATAAAGGCAGTTAATTGAGGGGAAATCCCCTCACACAGAGAAAGAAAATAGATTTCTGCAAAATTGCCAGCACGCGGAAGGCAGTGCAAACTTCCCTAAGGTAAAACTTGACTCTTTTACTCTACCAGAGTGCCAAAATAATTCCCAAGAAGCAAAGGGATTTGTGTTAGTGTAGCTGAAATTAGAAGCTGGGCTGTCCTTCCCAGACTCCAAATAGGAAAAAGAGATCCAGTCTTTACACTTTGTATTGAATGACTCCCACATGCTTGGGAGTTAGAAATTTTCCTTGTTAAAAATGAAGTGTACTCCTCGTGGGTCAGCTTCTGAGTTGCTGATACTCTGCTTGTTAAGCGTGTCAGCTAGGCCCTCAGGTCCACAGAGAAAAACACCTATCCTGGAGCTGTTAAGAAAATGAAAATATGGTCAGGAACTAGGTATGGAGCAGCTGGATGTTCTTCCTGTAAATCAATATTATGTTCTGTAAGTGCAAGGTTTTTTTTCTCAGTTGCAGGAACTACAGTAGAACTGGATGTCTACCCCTTAAAACGTATAACCCCTTAAAACTTGCAAGGCACTTACTGTTGCTTCTAAAACAAATGGTGGGCTAAATCTCAGCTCAGCAGAAATCAGTGAAGACAGGTTTATTGACCTCAGTGGAATCAAGGAAATAGAGCTTCAAAGAGCTTATGGCACAAATTCTTGAAAGGAACTGTTCTGGTTTTTGTCCTACTAATTTTGGGTGCTCAGCTAAAGGTCATCCCTATTCAGGTTTTGTTTTTTGAGGTAGAAAGCATTTTTTGAGGCATTTAGACCTCACCTGATATTCCTACTTAGTTCAGCTGGAATGATGGGGTATGTTTTTTCTAAAACTTCTGCTAGTAAGTAGACACTCCATGAAGTATTTCACCACAAAGGGATGATTTTTTTTTTAAATTGTAGGTTAAAACGAGACCATAGATCATGTCCATGGCTGAAACAAGAATAGAAAATACCTGGAGATTGTTAGAAAAAAAATGCTCCTCAAACTTAGTCAGCCAAAGGAACAAGATTGTGCTATTATGGCATTTAGATAGAGGAAGTCAAATTTGTACAGGTTTACCCAGGATGCTTCCCTGCAATAGTTTTGAACTCATTTTCCCAGTTAGGTCTTCCATACAACGTTTTCTGTTTAAGGCCTGTAATCACATCTTTCTCTTCTTCATGATGCACTACGAAATGAGTGGCCTGTGGGAAAAGAAACACAAAGGACAGCGTAAAGACAGAGTTAGATATGGCAGTATTATGTCCTGGTAAAAAAAAAAAAATAATGTCAATACACACTGAATTATTTCCAAACTGAGAATGTGGAATTCATGGTGTTTAGCAAGGAAAGCTAACATTGGTAATGTCCTGCCTATTACTATCTATCTCCCCCTTTTCCCCAGGTTGGATGATGTCAAGAGTTAAAGCTATGAAGCATTGAACACAGCAATTAGTTACGTTTCTTTTGCAATGAACTGGTTTAGTCTAAGAACTATAAAATAAAGCTGTAAATTAAAACAAAACTTTCCCTTCAGGTACAATAATACAACTCCCTTGACCTTAATGAAGTCCTGCCAGTTTGATCTCTGGAATGTTTGATCCATATGAGGAGGTCTTGTCCACCCTCCCTGTATAACTTTCACCTAGACCAGCTAAGCTAAGTAGAGCCAGGAAGGTGAGAAGAGGTGGTTAAGGGCAGAAGTTCAGGCCTTGAAGAATTCTGCAGCACTTTTATATACCAAAAAAGTTACAGGTAACTTTCTCCCCAAGCAAGAATTGTGTGACTTTTCTTCTTTCCTTCCTGTTTTTCCATTGCCTGTGTGATAACTTCCTACCTTACTCCTGTCCGTCTACCTCAGCTACAGCACTTCAGGCACATGGTGAATTTTGCAATGGTGAGATATAAGTAAAATAAAACATCACTAAAAGTAATAGAGTGAGCACCTTTCCTGACTCAATCATACATTATCAAGTGGCTCATGGAAGAGCTGCTCCTTTGTATCCCTATAGTGACCTACATGCGTAGGATCAGATAGACAACTCATAAGAGTCCCGAAACAAATATGCTGCCGTCGCTCAAACCTCGTGCGTTAGCTCCTCCAGTCCCAAATGCTGCTAGAGATACTTGCATGATCGGCTGAGGTTGCTGCTGTGAGGAAAGACTGCTTCCCAGAGTGCACAGCCAGTGTAAACCAGAAAGAAAATCAGAGTGCACATTAGCAGCTGATCCCCTGTAACTTCTGATGGATAATACCTGCCTGCATTTAAAAACTCTGAGAGCCAGATGGAGGCCCAGGATAAACACCATTTGAACATTTATCAAAACATAACATGCTAACGTCAACCTCAGTGCATATGCAAGTGATATTTTCCACCGTGTTGTTACCTGAGATTCATCCCAGCCTGTAAGGTAGATGTTATAGCTGAGAAACTCTGCGTTATTCCTCTCCTGCATTTGAGCTTCCAGAGATTGCAGGAGGTCAGCAAACCATTCAAAGGCATGAGTGTCCCTGCAAAGCCAGTAAAAATAGATCTGGAAGAGACAAGAGTGAGCTGTCAGGGGACATAGGCACTTACAGTTTCTGGCTTTACGTCTGCTGACAGAATGAGGATTGTTGAGTTCTTGTAGAAATTACCCTGCCCATTTCAATAGATGGGTAGGCTGGTATCGAAACTATTCAGGAGTTTTGATGCTGGGAGGGTTGTGAAGCCGAATGAGTGACTGCAAGAACAAGGAAACATCTTTCTATTTCTCTTCCACCAGTGGGTTACATTTTTAGTTCATGATGTTTCCCCACTTACATCCTTGTAAAACAGTTTGTTAGGACATAAATTAATGATTTAGAAGTAGACTCTATCTCCCTGTCTGCTGGCGGGCAAGGTAAATTAAAGCAGGTAACAAAACCAGTTCTGTTCCCTAAATATGACCGTAACTGCAAAGTGTGACCCCGCACCTCTGCAAAGGGAGTTCCCAGAGCAGGAGGTGAGAGGAGGATGGTAGCAGTGCTCTTCCACTGACATAAAGTTGCTCTCTCTCTTCTTAGGGAAGGAATGCAATATTTGCACAGGCTGTATTAGTGCCTTGGACTTCGTGTTTCTCACACAGATTGAACAGCATCTCCATGGCAAGCGGAAATCCCCAGGGCCACGGTCAGGATTTGCATGTGTGATTTTGCTCGTAGGCTATTTCTCCTTTCATTATGTTTTTACTTTTGACCCTCCCGCTTCCCTGCCTGCTAGTCTTGCGAGATAACTCGACTCTTCTCTTAGGACTCTCGCATGTCTGGAGCCAGACTACTTTTGCTGGGCCTGTTTTGATTTGGGCTGTCGGCCCTTGAACAATTACATGGGTTCTGGGAAAGAGGACACGCACCTTTTTGAGTTTTAGGTTGGTCGCATCGTGGCAGTATTTGTACCAGACAGACTTGAGTACAGATGCAAACGGGGTGACCCCTATTCCAGCTCCCACAAGCATAACAGTTTCATAACTGAATACATCCTCACTCGCTGTTCCAAAGGGACCGTCCACAGCTATCCTGAAATTGAAAGTACGCTTAATAAATCAATAGTGAATACTTATTAGCATCATTTAAAATAACAATAAAAAGAGAAGATATTTGTCTGCTACAATGCACATTTGGGTTGAATACTAGTCAGCAAAAGAAGAGGTGGGTTTGATAGGAGGAAACTGTAAAGAGCCATCTAAGGCCCACATCTATGACGGAAGTAGCTAAGGATTGTATCACAGGTGCCACCAAACTCATTGAGCAAAATTTAAACTGTCATAGGTGTAGGTTGACTTTACCGTGGAGACTCTTTGTACATACTTGGGCAACTTCCATGCCTCCTGGAATTCTTGCTTATCACATCCGCAGGCATTGAACAAGCCCTCTGTCCAGTCCCCTACAATACGGACATGAATGCTGAAGTAATCCTCTTCTGGAGCAGAGGTTAATGTAAATGGATGCCATTCCAGTTTAGACACTGCTGGACATTTGACAAAAATGTATTGCCCAACCTCCATCTTGAAGCCCTTCTTCATCATCTGGAGCTCAATTGTCTTGAAGGGATGAATGACCACCTACAGTGAGAGGGACAAGGGGAAAAAAGGGAAAAGAAAAAGTCTGTCTTCACTGTTCACTGGATGTATCTACATCCTTCATCACTAACATCGTCCTCTGCTATGTGAGCAAGGAAAGCAGGTGAAACTTTGTTCCCAGCAGACCTGGGAGTGAGGAACAGCGCCTGACAGCCAGAAGAAAGACTGCAGAAGATGCTGAATTTTTGGTTGCAGTATTTTTTCACACCATGCTTGCAGTTACTCCAAAAGGGACAGGTCAGATTGGCATATCTTGTAACACATCACCAATCTATGTATGCACATTGTTAATTCCAGATTCACCTTACATAGCGGCACAGAGCACAGTGTTAATGTATTTGACTGTATATATAGGGGAAAAACCATAGGGCTATCATACAGATAGGGAATTGGATACATAGTACCACTGGGAACTGATGTTTTTGTGTTATAGCTGGGTGGGAACTACAACATGGGCATTTGCATTCTGCCTATCTTTAGCCAAGAATAAATAAAAGCAATATTCTAGAAGCAAGGCTCGATTTCTGTCACTATGATTTTTTAATCCTAAAGTTGTCTGCCAAGGTTATTTTCAACTTTCAGAAGAGATTTGCAAGAGGGAGAATCAAGTCTCTCTATCTGTTAATGTAGGTATTAATAATAGTGCTTAGGAATGTGGAAGAAATTTTCTGCCAACAGGGAACTAAGCAGATGCCATAGACATATGGTATAGAAATGGCTCAGAGATATTTTGGTAAAATTACCAAAAAGTACACTAGTATATAGGAGCCTTCCAACGTGTCAGCATCATGCCAGAGCACAGTAGAGACATCTAATGTCATCCCCCAAATCCTGCTATGACTTGAACAGAGCGTGTCCACAAGATGCAGCACAGTGCCATGTGAGGAAATTACATTGGGAAAGGCCAGGATAGTTTTTATATGTTTGAGCTTAGTGCCATGCTAATTTGGCTGTCAGACTTTCAGAACTGGCTTTCATATCTCTGCAACACACCATGGGGAATGGAAGCTCAGCATTAGCTTTGGCTGCACAAAATAGGCACCCCCTAACTCTCCTTTTCAGGAGTCATTTGTTCTGCTGAAGAATCAGAATTCCTAAATATCTGGGTAGTTTTGAAAACAAAGATTTGATATCTTAAACACTCTTAAGGCTGTGGAATTTCTACATTGTGGAATTTTTCACTCAGTACAAAGAAAATTAATTTCTCTTTCCTTAAGATTCAGTCCTGTGCCCTAACTAACTTCCTCCTCTTGCTCTCTTTTAGAGACAGGCTACATTTAGATGTTAGAGGTTGGCATTATTTTTGCATGATAGCAGCCAGAATATTCCTGAGAGGTGTTGCACGGATAACTTTGTCTGTCATGTAGGAGTCATCGGCTTTGCTGTACCATTTGGAAAAATCGGTAATGTTTTGCCTGGTGTTAAGCGTAGCACCAATACATACCTTTGTGATAACAACTTTCTGCTGTGACCTCCAAAACCGCACCAACCTCTCACACAGGTACAAAAACATGGGACCTACTACCCACTTCCATGTCTGTAAGCAGAATAAAATGAGAAGTCAGATGATGAAGATGGCAATTTAGATTAAATTGAGTCCTGGAAATGCTATGAGCAGACATGAAATTCAGATAATGTAGGTTCTTTATCAACCAGAGTAGGGAACCTTTAAGAAATACGACACCTTCAAAATCACTTCTGGTCGGAGAGGGAATTTCTTTCTCTGTTGAATGTTGCAGCTGGCTTTTTAGTTGCTGCTAGAGTTGCAGCAGGGTATTTTCCTATGAGTGATTTTGTCTCTGTCTAAAAATTAAGGTAACTAAGTGAAATGTGGAGTAAAGCTCTGAATGTATTATTGACTCAGCTCTGTATTACTGCAGGAAAAGATGTGGTTTCTGTTAACAGATCAGTCTGAAATGTGAACAAACAACCAGCCTAGTTAGTGAATAAAAGCTGAAGTTTCTATGTCACCTTTCCAGAGGCATTAATTTTCTGTTAATGATCATTAGTCCATTAATAATGTGAAACTATTTATTATGTGGATTATAGCACTTTCTAGAAATCCCCACAAGCCACAAAATACATTTTGGGTATAAACAGTTCTCAGATACGATTTGCTCTTTTGCTTTGCCTGTTAATTGTGCTCATTTTATGGCATGCTGGAAATGGGTTGTCTGTCTGTCTGCAGTCCATTTCTGCTTATAATCCATTGTGCCGAAATCTATCGCTTTATGTAAAGAAAGCTGCCACTGAAGAGTGCTGGAGGTTACGTAGCTGCTTTTCTACAGCACGTATGTTATTGAACAAAAAGAGTAAATTGTAAACATTTTAAATTGGATTTACACTCAAGACAACTGTTCTTACCATAGGAGGATTCCCTGAAAACTGGGGGATTGGGCAAGCTCCCTTCTTTCCCCAGTGAGTGAAGTTCTTGTAGCAAATCTCTGGATTATGTACAGCCAGACTCTCAGCTGTCTGCCCTCGTACGATACGCCTGGGAAAAAAAAATCATTAAGGCAATGAAATGAAAATGAAGGTATCTGTCCCTTAATGTTATCTATTTATGTACTACTCTATTTATGTGGAGTTGTGGACTTCTGTGGTGCTACAGCTTTGATACAGCTTTACTGCTCTAATAAACCCAGAAAATTGCTATTAAAATGAAAAAAATGGGGAT